TCTTGGCTGGCTGAAAGGAAAAACATGTCTTGGGCTGTAAGATATGCTACTGAATTTTGTCTTTCAGACTCTACCTTCCCAGGAATGAGCTGGATAACCCTCACAAGTCTAAAACGTGGAAAGTCTATAGTGAGACATTTGCTGTGGAAGTGAACTTTATTGAACCATAAGGGCAAGCTGAAAGAAGGGAAACACAAAAATTCATCTCTCTTCCTGGAGAATGTCTTGCTACTTCAGTATAAATTGAAGCAGTCTCATTTGGATGTACTTAATGTATTTCTGTGTAGATACAACTTCTCAAATAAACTTATGTGAAGTTCTGTTGTGCAGAGCAATAACACTCTGAAGAGTTACTTAGTGTCAGCTGACTGTCATGTCATGTTAATGAGCTGTTGGATCCCTTGGAGCTTAGATGTCTCTACATACAGGTAATCCATACTTTAAGACAATTGCCTGTTGTTAAGCAAGGGTATTAACCTGATGGTGGGTGGAGACCAGCAGCATCCACCAGGAGACTGGTGGAAGAATCTGACACACCTTCCCTCTGCATCAGGGTTTTCCACAGATCAGCAGAATATAGGAATTTGGAGGGAGGAATAGTAATCTGGCAGAGGCAGACTAATACTTCTTGAGTAGAAGTCTTGGTATTGAACCACTGTTCATCAGAAATCCATGATGTAGGGTTTTGAGCAACACTTGGCCTGGGAGCTGACACTGGGGGTTGGAGACTGCACAGGTGCTTCTCTGCCACTGTACCTCCCCACAAAGGGCTGAGGTGGCCCATCAGCTCATGAGCATGCCAACTGCCTGGAGTCAGTTAGCCATGCTTGCCTCAATACCTGCATGTGATAGGTTTGGTCTGTGCACTTACTCCTTTGAGCTAACACTGCAAATGCTCACTGACCCTTCTTGAGCTAGACTAAGACCTGTAATGCACAGTGCTTACTTATTCTGCTTCTGGCTGTTCTCATAGTGCAGCTCTTCAAGGAAGGCTTGAACAGTCTCCACAGATGTGAGATGTGTTGAGGTTAGCTGCTTGGTTCTGTTGCTGCTTTAGTTTTTTATTGTTAGGAACCAAGAGCAGAAGGGGATTGACATAGCTTTCCATAGCTAATAGCTTGCTAATGGAGTAGGCAGAGAGATCTCATACCTTCCAGGTGCTTACTTGAGGGTAGTGGCATACTATGAGGTACATGTGTGCACTCAAGTTTTGCTGTTGCTGTGTAATTACCCGGTAGTTGGGAGCTGGGCTGTTGGAAGCTCCCACACAGTTGGAAGCTGCTTCTGTCAGCACTCTACTTCTAAAGTGTGGAGGTTGAAACCTGTCTTCAATGACAAAAAGTGTTCCACCAAGTGTTTGTGGTTCTAGGTGCAGGGTAGAGGAAGACTGGGTTACTTAGATATTTGAGTGGAAGGAGCTGAGGTTGTGTAGTCCAAACTCCGGTGCAAAACAGGCCCAGCTAGAGCAGGCTCACACAACCTAGTTCAGTTCTGTAGATCTCCAAGGATAGGGATTTCACACAAGCCTTAATCTTGTAAGTACTTTTCCTTCCTGGTTGGAATTTCCTATGTTCCATGTTGTGGCTGTTGACTCTTGTCCTGTCCCTGTATATCTCCCAGAAGAGCCTGGTTCTATCTCCTCCCATGACCAATGCAACTGCAGCCAGCAGTAAGATCTCTCCTCAGCCTTCTGCTATGGGTGAACAAACCCAGTTCTCTCCACTATCCATCCTGGTTGCCCTCTGCTTGCTTTCTTGTGCTGGGGAACATGAAACTGGATGTGGTGTTCCAGGTCCACTCTGACAGCTGCGAGAGGTATGAGCAGAGCATCAGAACTGTCTGATTTGCTGGCTCCAGAGCCTCCTCTTGCAGCCTAGCCTTTGCTGCAAGGGTGTGCTGGCTCACGCTCAACTGCTGCAACACTGTTCCCCAAACTGCAGTGTTGCTTCAGAGGCTGCATGTGTTATTGCACATAAACTTAGTAAACTGCCTCTCGAAGTTAAGGGGTGCTGGCAAAGTTAATGCAACCCCTGCATCTCTGGCTTGAGAAGAGGAAGGAACGCCTGCTTGCAAAGGTGTGGGACCAGAGCTGCATCGCTAGAGGGCGACGGAGCAAGAAGGCAGTACTGGGAGCTGGAATAGGATGCTGTTTTATTGCAGCTAGAAGTGGCTGGTGACTCAGTTCCTTTTGGCTTAGCTCTGGCAATTGGATATCCCTGTCCTAGGATGCCCTTTCCAATTGCTCACAGGGCAAAGAAGGTGAACCGTCTTTTTGCTTATGAAGTAAGCTTATCTCCTTGCGTAGCAGCAGCAGTGGCTGTGACAGCGGACAGTGGACACTTGTCCCTTACACATGTGGAATCTAGGTGACCTGTGCTGGACTCCTGGCATTCTTCTGGCACAAAACTTACCCTTACAGTGTGTATCATGGTAATCAACAATCTAGAAACTTAAGGCTCAACTCGAGTTCCAATATTAGAACTGACTTTGGTACTAACAAAGCACCAGGCTAAGGGCTAAACTATGGGCTTTATTTCCCATAGTACATTATGTGAAATCTGTAGTTGTCTTACAGCACCTTGTTATAGCTGGCACATTCCCTTCAGTTTTGAGGGCTTTATACATTCATTGATTGCAAAACCCCTTTTCCTTTAGCCCTGGAGGGGTGGTGACACTGACTTCAACCTCTCTTTGCTCCTCAGCTAGACAAGCTCGGTGTTGTTGCATAAATGGTCATCAGGCACTCAGTTAATCAAATCAAACTTTATTCCTGTGAATTCCTATACTAACATACAAAGTTCTGAGCTGAACCACTGATACATGTGTACAGCTTAAGTAGCTGTGAATGGAAAAATTACTGCTTATATAAAGTTCAAAAGGTAAACGCTCAAAATGCATGTCTGCTTCAGCTACCAGCTCCCTGCTGTAGGTTCAGTTCTAAATATCCTGCTTCTCTTGAAGCTTCAACTTTTGTATTAAAAACTGCAACCATCAGCTTTAAAAAATGAAAGCAGAGACAAATCTAAGAAATAGATTGAAGTATTCCACTGCTGTGGAGTCAGTCCTCACCTTTTCATAACTATTAGAAATGTATACAAATACATGATTTCTCTTGGGTAGACAAGAGAAAAGAAGGGGAAGTCTAACAACTCTTATTTAAACCCTCACCCTTGTACCTGAATTATTTAAACATTTGGCATAAATGCCTTTTAAAGTACTGATGATACACAGTATTACTGCCCCAGTGTACTGGTCAATCAAGGTAAATTGGCACAACAGACACTGAAAATTCTTCAGCCATGCCCTGCTTTTTCTGAGGGGTGTATGAGAGGGAGATGAACGGTTCCTGCTGTATGTGAAGGCTGGGGGGAGCAAGAAGAGTTTGTGGAACTGCAGCAACCACCTTTCACCAAAGCGGCCGTAACAGTGCAGTGGAGTAGGCAGGTTAAGTACACACCGGCTATGCTGCAAGAGGCAGCAGGTACTGAGGTGCTTTCATCTATGCCTAAAGCTTTTTCCTGTTTCTGGGGTCTGAAATGGAAGCTGTAACACAGAACTAAGCTGTTCCACCTGTGACTGTTGTCAGTTACTCACAAGTTGCAGTTGCTGTGACAAGCTGCTAATTGCTATGCAGCTCTGATGAGCCTGGTGTGCAAAAGAGCTCCGCTAACCCCAGAGGGCAGCTGGGTGGGTTGTCACTTACAGCATACGGGCAACATCCCTCTGTACAACTCCAGCCCTCAGTCATGAATTGTGTTGCTCTGAGACCTGCTTTGCCTTCTCCCAGGAGAGGCAGTAGCTGCTTCTTGCAAGGCAGAGCATGCTTGTATAACGAGCATCCTATTTCAAGAATAAAAGTGGCATCTAGAAATAGTTGTTACTGCATCATTTTTGGATAACACTAATACTGCATGTTTAATCAAGTAACATGACCAAGCAGGCATGCCCTCCAGGCCTGAAAGTGATATGAGCTATCCAGCCATGTGAGCTTTTTCCACTCAGCTGAAGAGACACACGGAGCAAGTGGCAGGACTCCAGCCTAAGTATGTGTGTGCTACACCACAGAGACTATGGTGTCAGTCATCTTTAAGAACTCAGTTCTGGCTTTCTGTTCCTCTTCAGCTTCCTGCCCTTCAAGCATATGGACTCATTCATGTCAAGGTGACCCAAACCGGAGCCTGCACAAAGTTACAATTCTGTGCTCTGAACCAGCAGCTATTTCCAGTGGTCTCCCTTATGTTAAGTGTTTAATTCAGTGGTGCTTAGTATATACTCCAGCACTTCTTGGAAGGATTTAGAAAATAATAAAATGCTGCCACCCACTTGTTACAAATGCTGCATGGTGTCCTTAAACCCAGTGACTGTATGTTTTTACCTCAGCTCTAAGTCATACAAGGTAGGGAGCAAACAATTCCTACTTTTATAAGCCCACTCACTGGGACAGAGTACGCAAGTCAGACAGCACTTGCCATGACCTTGGAAAGCCATGGAGCAGAAGGGAGCTGGAGAAGGACAGGGGCCTAGCTGAGGGATACGTCTCAGTCAGTCAGTCATACTCAGCACGTTTAGACAGGACTGGTTATTTTGAGTTAGATGCTTGCCAGCAACAACTGGGAAAGTTCACCACCACAGCACAGATTTTAAAACAGTGCTTTGCCTTAAATCACAGCCTACTGCTGTATGTTACATTAAATCCAACAGGTCAACATAACTCTTCTTAGCACCATTACAGGTCAGGAAGATACATTTATGACATGCAATGCACCTAATGCAGAATCTGCAAGATGGAGACAGTTCTGCTAGTCCAATTCAAGCAGCATGTACGCATCTCTATAAAATCACCTGAATTTAAAAAAATTACAACTCCAGCTTAAGATTTGAGTTCCTAAAATTAGGTCACTGATTTGGCCCTGCTCAAACCATGATGTGATCTACAGGTTTTTGATCCTTTATTTAAATGATCCTTAAACAACCTTTTGTTCTCCAGCTGTTAGAAGGCATCAGTAAGAATCTATTTGTTTCATCATAAGTTTCCGGCTGTACTCATAGGCAAGGAACAGTGCCCCATTGGCCAAGAATGCTCGGATCATAGTTGGCTTTAGTCCAGAATACAAGGCAAGTACACCTGGAAATGAAATCAGAACCAGTTAGCATTTTATTAAAATGCCTATCTGCATCAGCCACTGTGCTTTTACCTTTGGAGGATACTGAAGTAATGCTTCGGCTTAGAGGGGCACACACACACAGAGCTGAACTCACTGGTGTAGCAGCTAACCACAGTGTTACTGGATATTGATACAGACTGAGTATCTCGAGCTGTAACACGAGTGTTGCCATTTAAGCGCTTATCTCAGGTATGACATGAGTCTTCAGAAGGCTACCTTGGTCACCTGAGGACACAGTTCACAGCAGCTGTACCACAGCTAGCAAGGAGACAGAAAGAACAGCAGGACTATGTTGGAGCTCTGCCCTGAGACAGACTCCTGCTCTGATGAGTATCTTCCCTAGTAAGAGGGCCAGGATTCATATCTGCTGCCATGTACATTCTTCCACCATCTTCTGAAGTGCCTGGTGCAGGCCTTTTCCAGAGGTGAGACAGTGAGGTAGATGCCCCAAGCTGCCAGGCTAGATAGGACTGATTTATCAAACAGCCCTCAGCCAGCCATATATTAATTTCTAGAGGTGAAGAAAAACTCTGTACTGAACTTAACCAGTTCCTTCAATTTTCATGTATAGGTTTGGTCATGGATGATAGAGCTCATTCCTTTATCCGCTTTTAATGCATACTGAGCTTTTGTTAGCTTTAAGTGAATTGCCTCCTGAACCAAGAGGCATGGCAGATACAGCAGGTCTCAGTTTCTAGATTCCAAGCTTTCCAGACCACATGAAGCAACACGATTTCTGTTTGTTAGAAACAGTTATGGTCTGTCTCTAACACGTTATCAGTGGACTGGATTTCTTAAGCAATTTTTGGTATTGGAGGGTATAGATTTCAGTCTGCAGCCCTACAGGTTCAGGTGATATGCTACATACTCACCTTCAGTTCTCACAACAGTTACAAATGTTCCCATAAAGCCTGCCTGTTTTCCAGCCATTGAAAGAACCTGAATTCTAGATTTGACACAGTCCACAGGATACACAGCAATCCACAGACAGCTGCCTCCAAAACCTCCGCTTAGTAGCAAAGGAACAGGACCTAAAGTTAAGAAATAAGCTTTTATACACACCGCAAAATATTCACCAACAGAAATATCATATTATTTCATCTACAGAAGTCAAAGAGAACACAGAGGAACCTGCTTATGACAAAAGAGCAGTTTCTGCTCCCCCCAAAACCTTTAAGTTAATTTTAAGCCACTGGTAAGTTGCAAGTCTAACCAGAAGCTCAAAGGTTATGAGGAGTGCCTCTTAGATTATTGGCCATGCTAAAAAAACATAACTCGGAGTTCTGTTTTGACTGTATTAACTAAATGAACTCCACTCCTTTCACACTTGTAATCACTTTCCAATGCTAATTGTGAAATGTTTTAGAGTAACATCACATAGTGTCACTAATCACCTATAGAGATTCAGTTCAGTGAAGTTACTTTGTGATCAGTCATTTTTCACAGTACAACCTCATTTTGTTTCAGATCACATGTTTATAAACATTTTGCAACAAAGACCAGAATGCATGCAGCTGAAATCCTAACTCCCAGCAAGACAAAGTATGATTGTGCAGTCTTTCAACAGGAGACAAGCAATCTTTATTCTGGCATCTCCTCATCTTTTTCATGTCTAATTTTCAATCTCAGTGTTCTCTTACTATCACTGTAATAACAACTAATGGTCAGCATACTTTTCAGCATACACTTGAACATACAGTTCAAGAGACATTTTTCATTTTGTGTTTCAGATCACATGTTTATAAACATTTTGCAACAACAAAGACCAGAATGCATGCAGCTGAAATCCTAACTCCCAGCAAGACAAAGTATGATTGTGCAGTCTTTCAACAGGAGACAAGCAATCTTTATTCTGGCATCTCCTCATCTTTTTCATGTCTAATTTTCAATCTCAGTGTTCTCTTACTATCACTGTAATAACAACTAATGGTCAGCATACTTTTCAGCATACACTTGAACATACAGTTCAAGAGAATACAGCTAAAGCCATCAAAATCACTCTAAACAGCCGCTGAAATGAAATAGTTCAGAGTTGTGTTACACTAAAATCAGACATTTAAGTAGTTTTGTAATATTACTGTTAGCCCACTGTATTTATTCTCCATCTACGATGCATCCTGCTCCATTGGAAAGTGGTCACTTCAATATTTCATTACCATATATACAGAATATGGAGGTCTGCATTTTGTGTATGTCCAGTTTCCTTCATTTTACATGTATTTCACAACTGCTGTTGTGAAATATCTCCCTCCCTTACGTCCCCCACGACAGCATGCTAGAATCCTCCTGCAAAAAGGGGCACTGTACCTAATTCATCTTTTGATGTCCCAGAGGCAAAGAACGTCCGGCTCAGTTCATATCCTCCAAAGAAGAAGAAATAGCCTGGGACTTCCCGCAGCAAAGTGCTTGACAGGCCACGGTAAAATCCAAGGGGACCATCCTTTTGAATAACACCCTTCACTACTGACCAAACTGTACTGATAGAGAGGTTGATCCAGTTAGCGACGCTTAATAGCCAGATAATAAGAAGGTTACAGAACAATAAGCAACTGCAGCTACAATGAAGGGTTAGATCCATTGTGTAGACAACAGGTCTCAAGTAAGACTTAGAACAAGATCCTGCCAGGAGCCCTTCACTGGCACCCAGCTTTACTAGTGCCTGAAAGATCTCCAGGCTGCGACCCTCCCAGCTACAACTTGTCTCTGGTTAACAGCGCACTACAAATGTGATGCTGAGCTGATGCAGAATTAAAAATAATAAATGCACATAAAAGGGTTTCAGAGATACTGGGCAGGGTGTATACTTACTTGTGTCCCTGGATTATCTTCCCTGACAACTGCATTTCATGCATGGCCTGCAGCCGGCACTTCACCAGCTCTGTTGGGCAGAGGACAAGGGTGGCAAAGGCAGAGGCGAAGGAGCCTGCAGCAGCGTTCTGCAGATCACTGCAAGAGAGAAACTGCAGAAGGTATTTGGGCACTGACCTTCGGTGCAGTGGAGCCGCTGCACCAGCTATCAGCTTCCTGAACCTGTACTCTAAATATCATCACGAAAAACTGACTGACAGTCTTGGGAGAAAGAGTCTCAAAGGAAAAGGGCAGTTACTTGAACTAGGGAAATGAAAACCTAGCTCATCCCATCTTCATATACAACTCAAATACATCCTTTTGACACCTGAGAAGATATATTGCAACATTTACCCTTCCTGCTATACTTTAATGGTTGCAGCAGAATAGACTATTAATAGAGGTTTTCAGTGGAAGATGCTAAAAAACTGAAACCAAGGCACAATGGACCACTATGATCTTTCTGTGGATGTGCTGCCATGAATGCAACCATGTGAATCTGACATAGCGCAGACAAACATCAACCACACCACTGAACAGGACAGCACCGTAATCTGCATTGACTCACAATATTCTGAAACTGGGACTTACTTTGCAGTGGTATTACACATATCGCAAAGTCTGGGCTGCTAAACTGCCAGGGCTCAAAAGTCCTGGTACTCCAGGATGGTACTGCTTTATGATACAGTTTAAACAGGTTCCTACAGACATTGGTGTGTTGGACAGGAGCCGCACAATAACACAGACAAGTGGAACTTCTCTCTTCCTTCAGAGCCTGGGGAGTCAGCACAGCAGAGACTGACCTCACTGCTGCACAGAAATTCTTTCCATACAAGGGAGATGTTTGCCCTGTGCCCAGCAGTTTTATAACCTAGAGTATCAGAGATTAAAGCTACAACTTTTCACCTTGCAGAAGCATCACGGAACTAAAGTTGTGACATAAAGCAAAGCTTGTGACATTCAGATACGGCAGTAACAAGAACTGTCAAAATGGAAGAAATCAGTAACCGGCCACAGAGCAGCAACTGAATAATATGCAGTAAATAAACGACAACATTAATTGCACAACCCTCTTGCAGCACACAAAGCTTGGCTTAACAGGGATCTGAGATGCAACCCAATAAAGCTCAAGACAGAGCAAGGCAGAGTTAAAAATACAGTATGTGGCTGAGCCCTGCGGTCATTAAGCTATAAGCTAGAGCAAGGCAATAAGGTTACACAGTAGGATAAGAAAATATGGAAGAAGTGCCTTAAAACTATGCACTGAAGGATGCACAGGATCTCCTTCATATCTCCTTCAGGTGAGAAAGAAAACAGATGCTATCAGACTTGAGAAGAATTCGGACACAGGTACATAAAGACCTCGATTTAGCCATAATTCAGATCTTTTCTACTTTTGCCTGTTGACATTTAATTCTACATACAAAAATTCAGCTACACCCACTGTTTAAGCTTTGGTCTTTAATACAATGAACCTCATTGCAGAAGTGATAAGCCTTGAATCCTGTTCAAGTTCCCTCTCAACTCAAAATGCCTAATTCAGTATTTTTTCTGGGTGGGAGAGTTTTGATCACAGAGCACAGCAAGAATCCTCTACTCTTACACTGCTGCTTCTTCTATAAAAGGCATTTATCTTTTCTTCCCCCCACCCCCCCAAGAAAATAACCTGCTGAAGATGACTAGTCACGTACAGAGAAAGTCAAACTGAGGTGAACAAGGATAATGGTTGTCCCAGTTTAGACTTTAGCACGGAATGAAATCAGTTTGGTTGGACTAAATGGATGTTAAAAGATAAATGGAATTTAGCATTTCTCTCTGCATTTGTTTTCTTTTTGACTCATGCATCAGTGGCATGTATTCCTTTAACTAGAAAAAGTGTTGTTTTGTAACTGTCCTTGTAACTGTTTTGCAAGGCACTCACCAGGGTATCCCTAAACACAGGCAGGCTAGGCAAGTTTATTTCCTAGCCATTTAAAGGTATTACTGAAAAGGCAACTTAAAGCAAAGACAAAGTATTATAGCTGGTTTTGAGAAACCTCAAACACTATAAAAATAATGAGAAACTGACAAGCAATTGCTTAGATATGGGTAAGAAAAATAGTCAGGTTCACCTCAGTTTGCGACTTCACACATTTTCTTCTTCAGGCCAAGACAGTATGACAGTTTCTAAACAGCAGAGGCAATGAAGGTAATTTAGTTCTTTACGTGTTATGTCTGGAGGATAGCTACCTCATCAGGGTTTCTTCCCTCCCCTACAGCACACTACAAAGGCTTCTCGACTCTTCCACAATGAGAATGGGTGGAGACATCCTGGACAGACCACATGTACTCAGGGCACCACTGCAGACTATGTCAATACAGTTCTCTCATACGTGCACCTCGTTAAGATGCTCCCACAATGATCCAGATGAAGAGACCAAAGGAGCAGCACCAAGGTAGAAATCTTTCAAGTAAACTTAAATCCTTTTGTGTTATGTTCTAGTGCAGTCATGCAGTCACACTATTTGCTCTTCAATCAACAATGAATTAAAGAGCCATACTAGATCTGAAAAGTACCAGTACCTGGCCAAGGGAAGATGGGTAAGATGTCAGAGGCACTTGCTATTGCTACATATTAAAATTACATTCCCATTCTGTAGCCTACTCCAAAGATGTGGAGTAGTACACCTATGTATACTGTTTGAAAGTTTCCTGCGCTACCTCCACTATATACACCCTAAACATGATGTCTCAGTCACTTGAAGAGATGATCTTAGGACCCCTGCAAGTCTGTGGTCTACCCCCCCAGGAGGATCACAAAAGATGGTTAAGAAGTGAAGTATGCTGTTGGTAGGCATATCTCCTACATTTTAGTGGGTAGAAAAAGATGAGGGGTCTGTAAGCTGAGCAAGCAGAAAATCCCTGACCTAAGAAAGCAGTAAAAAGGTGGAAAAAATTCTGTCTCAGATGAGAGGTCTCAACTGTCAGAAAATAGTGAAAGAGAATTGAAGTAGAGCACCATTAGTATGTTTCTTCATCGCTTCATATTCCCTCATAGCAGGCCTCAGTCTTAAGATACAGCACATCTTAACACACGACAGGAGAACACCTCACATAATGCCACTTTTAGATACTTGTCTTGCACTTCGGTAGCTACCCATGTCATGTCAGAGATCTCAAATGCAGAATCATGGCATCCTTCCATTTGGAGACAGACGTGACAGGCAGAACAAAGCTATTAATGAAAAGCTGAATGTGGTTAACCTTGCATTACTCTTTGAATGAATGGAGTTAGGACAGTATGAGAAGTCTTTTACACACTGTGGGGCAGCACAAGGATGGAGAAGGTGCAGCCACTTTCAGTGCTGCACAGAAGACATACCTTGAGAAATGCGTAACAGTAAGGCACACTGAGACTGCTGGACCACTGACAGCTCTAAAGTGATGCACCTGGAGAAAAGTCATCCCAGCTAGAAAGAGATTGTGATCGTTATGCCAGTGCATAAATCCATGACTTGTTCACATCCTGAATACTCCACACCGCTCTGGTTTTATGAGCTCAAACCCAGATGCATTAGAATTGCAAGAGTTTCAGAGAAAAGCAACAAGGACAGTTAAAGGAACAGCTCCTGAGTGCTCATTGACTAGGAGGGCTGGGATCCTTCCACCTAGCAAACAACTCAGGTGGCAAAAAGGGGCACGGAGCAATGGATAGAGGTCTACAAAATCCCAAGTGGCATGGAGACAGTGGCTAAGGACCAACTGCCTCTTCCAGTTAGAGAACTAATGATTATCACCTGTAGAACTCCCTGCCAAAGTGCACCACAGATGCAAGGAACTGAGGGGAGACTGGACAAGTGCTTCAAAAGAGATCCACAATCACTGACTGGATCACACCAGGCTCAAGAAATCCTCTGAACTAAGAATGCAGCCTGGCAGAGGACTCAGTAAATATTAAACACTTCCTCCCTTCTTTCTCATTCCTTAGGTAACCACTTATTGCCAGTACTGAAGACGACACGCTGCACAAAATTAGACCCTCAGTCTAACTACCATTACATTCAAGCTTTTGAAACTTAAATAAATAAATTTAAAAAGCAAGGCAGTATTAGAAAAGCGTCCTTTCCCCTCCCTCTAAGAGGAACCATTACCTCCCCTGCAAAACCAGAACAGCCTAGAGACCAAAGGAATACCAACTTTCAGGTGCTACAATGCTCATTCCCTTTGGTAAGATGTTCCAGGTCTTGAATATTTCAATTAAGTTGTGATTATCTAAACCAGCCAGCTCCAGTGACAAGTAGATGGCCCTGCTGTAGTTAGACACCATAGCCTAGCCCAAAGGTCTATATTCCAAAACACTGCATACTGGCAGAGGGGGGAGCTGTGACATCAGTGGCACCCTGACAATACAGTATTTGCAAGTAGCAGTTGCATGACTTTTTATTTATTTTAAAATATGAAACGGATTTCTATTACTAACCTGAGCTTTGTTTTCCTGTCTACTCCAACAATTCTTCTCACAATTTGTTGGCAAAATCCATAGCACATGAACAGAACGGAGTTCTCCGCGATGTTGGCTACAAGCGCTGGTGTGGTTCCCTTGTAGAAGCCTCGAAACCCCACTTGCTTATAGGTTTTCACAAAACAGTCAACAATTCCTCTGTACATGTTGGGGAACGTCTGCATCTTCACCTTTGCGGTGTCAAAGGGCTGGCCAGTCACCACGCATGCTGTCCCACCTAAGCAAGCAGTGGAAGTTAAGAGGGCAGGTGAAGGTTATCACAACTAAAATGCCTATACACAAACTGCACCATTAGGAAAATCATGCAGAAAGCACAAATGAAAGTTCTCTGCAGGAAAAGACAACTGCACTGATTTTAGCACAATGGCATCAATTGTCAGTGGTGAGTTTAGTTACCTGAAGAAAAAAATCATGCATAAGAGCAGTAACAGCTGCTCAGTTTAATGATTCTCATTAAACATTTCTACCTTACTAAAAGCAACCATCTAAATGAATCTGTTTCCTTACATAAACAGGTACTGAATTAGAGGCATTGTTCTGCAATCAAGTCACTTGTGTTAATGAGTTAAGCAACATTTTCCCTTGCTCATTAATGCAGTGGTTCAGAAGCCATCTGATTTTACATTCCAATAATAACAAAAAACTGAAAGATCTGTAATCAAGTGAGACAAAGATTCCCCCAGGACAAGAGGAACACTGCTGAGAGAGTGCTAAAACTGATGATGCATTATAAATTGATAACAAAAGACTCCAGCTCTTTACTTCAAAACTCCAGATGATTCTTATTTACATTTATTCCCACATATTGGAAGAAAGCGTCCAGGATAAGCTGAAAAAGGGCAAAAGGGCAAAGTTTCTCAACATGTTATCTTTTCCAAACTGAACTGCAAGGTCAATACCCTGAAAACTTGTGAGATATTTCCATCAACATCATCAATAACCACTTTGCCCACAGTGCAGTGTTCTTCCACATGATCTACCTCAACTCAGTAGCCTGCAGAAAGAGCTAACGTTACACTTTTTCAGTAAGAAATACCAGCGTACACTGACAGCAATCTATTAGGAGCCAATACCTAACAGGAAGCAAGATAGGCATACCTTATATAAACTTTATGGTTTTGCTTTTTTAGTAAGAGAGAAGAACCATCCTAAAACAGAAGCTCATCTTTGTCCAAAGCACAGTTGACATGCATAAACCTTAAAGAGGGCAAGTTAACAGGATGTTTTTTCAGCTATGAAACTGAAATAATTATCTGTAAATGCAGATAATGTAAAGAAACTGAAATAGAAAAAAAAAGTACGAATCCAATTAAGATTAGTTATTTTTCTTCTAAGTGGGGAGTAGAAGAGTAAGCAAGTGTTTGTTTAACCAGGGTGATTTTCAACTTATTCTACTCCTTGCAAACACATTTGTGTTACATTGTTGCTCCTCTGCAAAGAGGAACTCAAGATCCTAGCTCCCATAAAACTTCATTCTCAACCAGGCAGATCGTTAAAGCTTCAGAGCAAATCATGCAAGGAAGCATGAAGAGCTTCTTGCTCTGGGAGGGATAACCAAGGAGAAAAGTAGCTGGCTCAGACCAGTAACATCCATGTAAGCCTCAGCTGAAAAGCAGAGCTGAAAAGGCTCAGCCAATGCTACTTGCAGGCAAGTCAGGTAGATACTAATCTACAGGACAAACACTAGGTTCCTGTATAAAGGTAGACCTAAAGCATCCACATGTAGTAAAATAACGGCCGTTGGAAGACACCCAAGAAAACCATGAATGGTCTTTGGAATGCAAAACTAAAAAATTGGGAGTTGACTGTGAAAGCCACTCCAAAAAGAGAAAGGGCTCTCCTTACGCTGTCGTTGGAGGTGGCACAAGAAGCCCAGTAAACTACAGCAATGAACTTGTAAGCCTCAAGGTGAAGACCAAGAATCCCAGTTAATATCTAAAATATTAAAGAAAAAAATAATTCTTCCAGCCAGCAGTAAATAGTCTAAAACAACACCACCACCAAAACAAACCAGAAAAACAAAAGTCAACCCTGCTTGATCATTTAGACAAATGTAGTCCTAATAAGAACATGGGAATGGTGGGGAAGAGAGTCCTACTTAATCAAAGAAGTGATTAGAGGTTGCTCAGATCCTAGGCAAAGGACTATGACCCACAGGCAGCTAAATGACTTATTTATTCCTGTTCAGAATTTACCTGCCCCAATGTCATTACTTATCAGCTAGTCGAGACTGTATCCAGAGAGGAAGGTAAAACCAGGTCACGCATTTGCTGGAGGAACTAGCTGTTTGCCTAGTTAAATAAACTTTCTAAAGGGTATAGAGACATATGTAACACAGAAATGAGTACTACCAATGAACATAGGCAATACAAAGCAAGTATGTGGAAAGAATATGGAAAATAAACACTAGAGGAATGGTAAAACTATCTATTACAACAGAAGTGGCAAAGAAAAAGAACAAGAACAATAATTTAGGATTATTGAAGTCATGTTGAAAAAGGTCTGAATGCCTTCATCTTGTCTGAAGGAAGGAGAACTGTATCAGAGAAGAAAACAGCACAATTAGTTCTAAGATCCTCTAAGCTCTACTGTGAAAAACCAGGCAAACCTCAAGTGCATGCCCTGTTAGCCTGAATGTGGGCATGGAACAGTATCACCAAGCAATGGATTTCTAAGCTAATGCTAGTTTCCAGCTCTTGTAGTAGCCAAGATGAGACACACCAGGCTTCAACTCACAAAGACAACTTCCTAGGCCAGAGTGCTCCACTGCCCTGGATGTTAATAGCAGCATTCCTGAGCTGAAGTACCAGGAAGGAAGCAATCACGCCTCCCATTTAAGCACCTGGGACCATCCACAAACCCATCAAGAACTGCACAGATACCAAGTTGCTACTTTGGAAAATAGAGCAGATATTAATAGCCGTTCTTTACTGAGGACCCAAAAACCAAGGAGAATGAACAGACTAACAGAAACATATTTTTTTTAAGGCAATGAAGGAATAATAGCAGAAACACTTCTCTTCCCTTGCAGGGAAAG